ACCTGGCTGAAACTGAAGCGGTGGAGAAGTTGGTTGGGAACTTGCATTTGTCAGGTGTAGTTCTGCCAGGCAAGCTTAGTTGTCCCAAGATGTTCAATGTAAGCCAGGGTTGGGTTGTAAATGTTTGAAGGTTGAACACCGGTTGTATACTTACAGGCCCAACTGGTTCCCCAACTGTCACCTTGAAGGCGACCCATCGGCCGAGTTGCCTGCTGGCCTTCTTGGGCAAAAGGTGGATCTTCATGACAACGCCTGCGCAAGCAACCCCGTTGCTGCATGTGCTTTGGGTGGGGCCTCTGGTCTTGGTGCCAAAGGTGACCAAGCCAGATTAGACTATTGGAAACCTTTTCACGCTTTGTCATTTTATGTTGTTTATTGGAGACTTTTTTTGGGCTTAAGGGTACCAAATCTCACAGCAGGTGATCTTCAGCCACGCCACATCAACCATATGACCATGGAAGCTTTTCATGCCGAGTACCTCCTTTGGGCAGAGGGTGCTGGGGTTCCTCCAGAGCAACGGGCTTCCAACAGGACTTTCCGGAATGTCTATGACAATGGATGGAGGCAACTTTTGGTCATGCGGAAGATTAGTCAACACAGCAGGTGCCTTGCCTAACAAGAACGAACCACCTTTGGCTCAATACTTTTCAATACCAAAACCATGGGTTTGTGGTAGCAGAAGGAAAAACTACTATATACACCTTTTTTGGGGTTCCAAGCTGGACCAACTAGGTGTGATCAATGTGCGAAATTCTCAGCCAGAATTGGTAGTTGTTCGGATGCTGAGCGCCCCAATGTTGAGATGGCCCAAAAGATTCACATCGATGGCGTCAAGGCTTTCCGGTGCTTGCAGGATCGACTTCAGATGCTTTCCATTGAGTCGACCACAACGACAGAGTCTGCGCCAACACAATCTGTATTGAAGATAGACATCGATGGGCTAGATCAGGCCAAGACGAGATGGCCTCGGAATCTGAGCTCAGCAAAAGCACTGAGCCAACTTTGGCGCCCCAATATTCACATTGTGGGCTTCATTGCCCATGGAGCACCTTAGTATAAAGTTGAACTCTGGTTTGGGACGTTTTGGCCTGGTTTGGTGTGTTCCCCACTTCCATGTCCATGCAGGGAGTACAGGGTCTTGCAGGCCCATGCAAAAGGACAAAGCCATCAACTTGTTTGCCCAAGGTATGCGAGGGCTTCCTCATCCTGGACAATGACATCCCAAAGGATGCTTCGATGGAGATGACTGTGCTGGATATGGTTCTGGATTGGTGCTCGGACATCCTTTCCAAGAAGGGCATTGTGTTTCCAGAACATCTTGTTCTGGAGGTGTGGGAAACCAAATAGGATATGTCCACCAAGAAAGCTTTTGCGCTGACAAATTCCCACTTGGTGTTTCCAATGTTCCTCTTTGCTTGGGAAGGGGCGAGGGCTCTTGCCCTTATGTCCTTACCAGTGTGGATTCCAAAAAAACATATATAATACCAAGTGTTTTCTTTGGCTCAACCCTGCAGACAGACAACACGTGCCGTGAGGGGAAGAACCAAACGGTAGCGAAGTGGTCAGCTTTTGCCATTGCTCGATCCAAGTGTCTAGAATTATTTGCGGATTATTTTATCTCTTTTCTCACCTGCATATATGCTTTACCCTTTTGGTGCTAGTTCTGAACTCGACCATGCATTTTTTGACAGGTTTTTGCACACAACCAAGGTTCAAGAGTGTCAGCCACTTCTATGGACAGGTTGGCCACACTCACAATGGTGTTGACCAACGGCTGTCTATTGCAGTGACATCGTTCCAGAATGAGACCACCATTCAAACACCGGAGGAGTATGATGGTCCAATCATAGGTTGTGATCAATCGGGTTAGCTGACAACAGAACAGAATTTTAATTGAATAGAATAGAACCATGATTCATGACCCTGTTTCTATTGCTGCACCTTCCAACCAAACTGTTGCAGGATTTCCTCAGCATCTTGGAGACAAAGGTCATGCCATCCAAAGGCCGTGAGATGCGATGCTGCATTTTGAAGGGCACCCTGAACTACAAGGCATTCTTTGAGCAGCTGGATATATCAATTTCTGGCTTGGTCCCAAATGCCAAGGGGGGTGAGCCTGATGTGAACCATTCATGGCGCTTCATTGCTCGAGAGGAGCCTTACTTTCCAGTGTTTGGAAAAAACTGTTCTTTCCTTTGAGGGTGAGGTACCTCCTGCAAAGCCACCAATTCAAGGTTAGGTGCTTCCCACAAAGCCACCAATTAATCCCATCGGGGCCCCCC